CCCCAAAACCCCAAAACCCCAAAACCCCGCAGAAAATTTTTGTATTTTTTATAATAAAATTAAGTGGTAATTTATATTTAACTTATATTGGTTTTAAAATCATAATCTTGATTTAATGTTTGGTAGTATAGATGAAGCATTTCTTACCATACCTCTCTAACTTATTTGGCCTTCTATATTTTCGATTCCTTGATTAATTCTTTTCAAGAATGTTTCCTTTATTCTAGGAGTCTTGCCAAACTATTATTTAGATGAATTAAGATCCTTCAAGAATTATGGAGGGTCGTATGTCTCAACATCATCATTTAATTCCAGATTTTCAAGATACTAATAGTCTTTGACTGTTGCGAAATTTCTCTTATAAAACTTCCTTTTAGAATCTAATTCTCTAAAAATCTTTGTTCTCAATTTCTATGCTTCATATTGACCCTTTTAAGAGTTTGGATTGGGATTCTAGATTTGTATTTTAAGTTGAGGTATTAAAGTTGATAACTATGAGCTAGATTTATCTATAGGAAAGTTTTAATCTTTTCCTAAATTTGGATTAGGTAGTGATTCAATTTTTTTAGAGGCATAAGTCAACCAATCCTTTTTTGTTTTCCCTCCAATTACACTTTTAGAGTTAGATATATCGAGGATAGGTGGAATCTAAGAAGTAAAGCTGCTTTTATCAAGGGCATTCGGTAAACCCATTGATTATTTTTTCTTATCGTTGTTAAATAAAGTTATAACATGAGTACTCTAATATGAGGAAATTGACTTATCATTTACATGAGTTGGATGATGATCATCAGGAGGATCAAATTTTGATTAATCTTAAACTTTTAAGTAGGTTTCTGGATGAGGAATTGTGCTATCTACAGTATTAATATTGATAGTAGGTTCTTTCTTATCAGAAAATTCCAAAAGATTTTATTTACTTTTCTATTAATTCTTAACAAGAGTATGAGTTTTTGGCAATCTAAGAGTAGAACTACGTCTACTTGCTTCTAATGCAGCAGGTCTTTATGCCATTAAAGTTCCTAATGCAGCTGCATCTAAAGATACTTGATATGTTACTTCTCTGATATTATCATCATGCTACTTTTATAGAAGAACTCTGGCCTTTTAAATAGTTTTTATATCTTCCTCAAGAGCATTTTCCCATTCTTTAGTTTTTGGATTATGTTTTTTGGGAATGTTTATGATACTTTCTATTTTATCCAATAATGAAAACTGAGCTATATTACTACCCTAGCTTTGTCAATTCCCTTATCTAGCAGGATCTGAATTTTTGTGATGATCCGCTATATCTCCACCTCCATGAGAATGAGACTTATAATTTTATCCTGGATTCTTAGTTTTTCTCGCCTCCATAATTTTCAATGAGTAATTCTTTGGATTTTTCAAAGATTTATCCTCTTACTCTATTTTGTTTAGAAATTTTTAGAAGGTAATACTCTCACTTTCGCTTTAGAAAAACTTTTGATGTGAGAGCATCATTGGATTTCCTGTCATTTCACTATCATAATTATCATTGGTTCTAAATTTCTTGCTCATCAGAGATGTTGCTGATTGATTCTTTGAATCTAAATTTTTGAATCTCTCTGTTTTCTCAAATATTTCTCCAAATGCATTTGCTGCTAGCATTGACCTATCTTTTTTCTTCGGAGATACATCTCCATTGCTCTATTCTATCTATTTCAAAATAGTAATTGCCTCGGTAAACTTTAATTTTCTCTTGAAATATGAGCTAATCTTTAGCTTCCATTTATTTGGTAATGGCTTATCAATATCAAGAATACACAATGAGTCTCCAAAAATAGACCATATTCTGACAATCTAAGAATTGGTTGAAGTAATGATGATCTTTGGAGGAATATCAATGACTTATAGAACAATTATTGCCTCATTAGCTGCCTTAAATTTGAAATGATTCAAATCTTCAATATAATATTTGGTATCTTCTAGTTTTTTAGGTGATGAACTAAAAGATTGCTGTTTCTACAGAATTTTTCCTAAACTACCAAAAGTAGTCTGTGATTCAAAGAATCTCTTGCTTAGAGCTCTTTTAAGTTAATGTCCAATAGATTATTCCTTTTATTATCTAATTTCTTCGAGTCTTCTTTATTCAATTTTGTTAAACTCATCTATGATTTCTTTTTCAGTGTTGAAAATTCCATTCGAATTCAACTGAATATTTCTAAAAGGATTGTATTCTCTTCTTTTTAAAGCATTAATACTTTTCTTGTCTATTCTATGCTTGTCTAAAATACTCTGAATTTCAATGACAAATACATTTCCAGTTGTGTCATCACTTAGAATGAGGACCATAAACTTCTTCTTCTTCTCATAACTTTCACAGATATCAAGACAATCTTTGAAATTTTGAAACTCAGGATGTTTTCTATCATTTTCAGTAGTATAAAGATACTCAAAATCCTATTCGTATAGCATTTATTTTACTAACTTAGAGGCATATGGGCCGGGTAAAGGATTTCCATTAACATCAAAAGGTCCACCGTCTGAGTAAGAAAAATGAATAGTAATCAGTGCTTGATAAATTTTGAAAGAAAAAGAGAATTACTATAATTATTCCCAGATAATAATTTATCCGCTCACATCAAGAGTACAAAGAAGAGGAAAAGGATCTAGGAATTCCAATACTAAAATATCGCTAAAATTATTTGTCATCCCTCCTATGAGTCTCATTGTTTCATAATCCCATAAGCATATTATACCATGACTTGCAGTAGCTATCATTGATAATCTAAGAGATAGAGCTATGGCTGATATCTCCTGTCCAAAATGAGCATTCTTTATTTATCTTAGTATTTATGATTTAGCCACTTCTTCTGAATCTTTTTCATTTTCTTCTTCATCATCATTATTTAAACTATCATCTTAATCATCTGTGGCTGGAGATAAATCAGATTTCGCCTTAGTCACAGCATTCTTTTAACCAATAGACTTTTAAAGTATAATTTATGAATCCCAGCCAGCAGATAATATAAGGTTATTTCTATCATCTAGCTTTACTGAAGTAATTTCCTAAGAGTGACCACAATTAATTGTCTCTAGCTAAGATGTCTAATAAAGATAAGTCCTTATATTTCCCTTATTGTCACCTACAATAAACTTTTTGCAATCCTTTGTGAGAGTAAACTAAGTCAAATCGGAAGACTATTCCCCATCTTCATCTTTAACTAAGTTAGCAATTATTAATTCGGTTTATCCATTTCTGATGTTTACTATTCTAATGTCTGATTTTGTAGCAATACATAGCTAATTGAAAAGGCTATTGTATCTTATGCTAATTGGAGCCATATTTAAGAATTCAATTCCATTGGCATTTACAATGGCCTTATCTTCGAATTCAAACCAATGAAGTCTATACTCTATTCCAATAAACTTCTTGTCATTTATGTTTATAAACTGATGAATTGAAGATTTACACTCAAAGTGTACAGTTTATACACATTAGCTGGATCTTATATCCCAGGTCTTTAGGAAACCGATTTCATCAGCAGAAATCAATAATGGAGTATCTTTCAGAATTTGAATTGAAGTAACTTAAGCATTGTGCCCAACAAGTCTACTTAGTAAACTGCAATCTTTGCCTTCAAATGACCAAATGCTGATACTGTTTTCATATTGAGCAGTTGCAAGTACTCTGAAATCTTAACAATAGCACATTGAATGCGATGAAACTCCATCTAGCTTGAGTATCTATGCAGGCAATCTTTACTATAAATCCCAAAATATTATCTTCTTATCTAGACTGCAGGCAGCTAGTAACCTTAAATGAGTAATCTCACATATATCAGTGATTCTTTCTTCGTGTCTCTTTGGTAACTAAATAGCAGATTCTTTTTCAATATCCCACACATAGATAGAATTCTTTTGATCTACAGTGATCCAAGTAGTGCAATACTCTACATACTTTATGAAGATTTGAAGCACTTCTAAGTGGGCATTAAAAGTCTTTTCAAAGCTAAAATTGTCTGATTAGTCCCAAAATGCCAGACTGTAATCTTAAAGACAAGCTCCGATTCTACGTTCTAGAAAGGAATATGTAAAGAACAAAATTCCTGTATCGATAATGTGATTCTCGCTCTTTGGTTTTATGCTTTTGATTCTGTTTGAATGCTCATTATAGAAGTGAATTTCATCGGTCAAGTTATCAAGAACCAATATTGTATGAAGTTCTTTCACGTATTGAACATTCCTTATGCCTTAATTATGATGATAACTATCTATTAACTTCTAACTTTGCTTAAATCTTCTTAGACATAAGGAGCTTCCACCAATAATTTCAGCTGAGAACTAATCCAACTACTTAGATGCATAGACCTATTTGAAGTTATCTGCTGTGTTCTTAGAAATGTATTTATTAGGTACTAGAGTCTTTTAGTTTCCACCTTAAATCACATTATCAATGAAGTAACCAGTAAGAGCAGTCCATCTGATTAAAGGCTCACCCGAGGGCTAGGCTTAATTAGAGTAAGATGGAATGAATTTTTATTCATACTCTCGAACCTCATTGAAAAGATCAATGAGACCCACAGTTACATAAGCTTTGTCTTGCTTCTGATAGTTCATGTGCTTCAAAAATATTTAAACGAATTCTAAAATATTTGTAAAAATATAAATTTTTACCAGCTAAAATTATTGTTCTTTCTTTGATTTCTCTCTCAATCTCAAGAAGTTGTATTTTTTCAAGTGTATTCAGGATCTTCTATGGGGTATACTTGTCTATTAAATATTTCGATCCCTTCTTATTCTTTTTGTTTATCTCATCAAAGTACTGTTGAGTACTTCGGTAATGATCAATCTGTTCCTACTTCTAATTATCATTGCCGACCTTCTATACAGCCATGGCGAATGAAGTATTATTGTAATTAGGATTTGTTGAATTTAAGAATGTTTCTTCCATGATTTTATAAATTAATATTGTGCTTACTAAGTCACATTAAGAATTGAAAATGTTAAACTAAAGAAATATTTTAATTGCTAAGTTTATAATTATTAATAAATTCTTAATAGAAGATGGACACAAAGGGTAAATAAATTTCATTCATATATTAATATTAGGCGGTGGATTAACTCACTACGAGTTGGGAAACATGAAGTACATGAGATTGGTATATGGCGAGGGTCTTAGAGTGCCAAAGATGCAAAACAGAGCCTGGGACAGAGAGT